ATGAGAAGACTAAGAAACGCGTTACAGATCGTCTTTGCCAAAAGAGACCATCTCTCTCCAGCTGCTCCACTCCGTATACAATGGCATCTTTCAGACAAGAGACGCTGGGTCATAGCAATGACAGCGGTCTGAAAAAATTGGCTCGAGCTATGGGAGTCAAGGTCGATCACTAGTTTCTATATGACAATGTTCAAGTGGGTAAAAGATTACAGAGAGCTGTAAGGGACAGTTCCTGGTGGAGCTCTGATGAAGATGAAGACTACGAGTACTATTTATGGAAAAAATATCGCCGTGAGAAGATAAGACGACGACTTATGCAGAGATCAAGGTACGGATAGAGTTCAAATAGATACCTGCTTCGGGTTAACGATTACTCTTTGAGGGATTCGTCCGAAACGATTCAGTATCATTATCACAACCATGGTAGCCCATATTCTAGTAGTTATGGAGCGTCTCCGTATGCGGGATACTACAGGCCATCGTACTACAACCCATATAGGTAAGCAATTACTATGTGGTTTCGAACGGGTTGTGTCAGAAAGAACATTTACTTCTGTCAAATCGTTACAATTATTAAAGGGTCTAATTCAAGAATAAATACTAGAACTGAGTAAGCATTCTGACTAAGAAGAACTCAATGGTCATTTCAAATACACCAATAGCTTTATCACTAGTTTTATAAGTTTGAAATTGGGTTCGTAGGATTTACCCAATTTCATTGGTTCAATTGCTTAGCAAAGGTTCTTTTTTTTGAGAAAGGCGGATGTTTGCATTCGGAATTAATCTAACAAATTCTTCAACGTTCGTCATGATGTTTATCATCCTATCTCGGCATGTGACCTTCTCGGTAATTTCGTAATTCGTATTCACTTCAGTGAACTTGGAGACCAAAAATACTTATACAGTACTCTCAAAGCCCTTACTACATGCCTGTGTTTTCTATAAATTTATAAGGAATCCTGCTAAATAATCAGCCAGCTCTCTTGACTTCTTTTCACTTACTTCTGTGAAAGCACCAAGTGGGATTTGTTCTTTTCATGATTTGCTTTCGCTTAAGAAAAGCTTGTTATGATTGCTTACATATCATATCATATCATGGTGCTGTGTTGCAAGAAAACATTAATTTTTTTCGTCAACTAATTTCGATGGTTTTTTTTTAACCACATAGAGCAAGTTTAGTACGTATTAACATAATTCCTTCTTGCTGAAATACGATACAGCTCAATACATTGCAGGAAAGGATTTTCCAATTTATCAAAAAAAAATATTCTCCTTCAAACACAAGATCAGTCTGTAATCAAATAATAATTCAAAAGTTTTCGAGTAAAGCTTGTTC